TAAACAAAAAATAAATAACTAGCCCGTAGGAATAATTTGCAAAATATTAATTCCTTTCTCACACAGTACATATGATCTACTTACATTATTTCAATGTTTCTCCACTAAACATTTAAATATATATATATATATATATATATATATATATATTTAGAGGAGAAACATCGAAATGACATAAGTAGTACATATGTACTGTGTGAGAAAGGAATTAATTGTATTTTCCTTGGTCTAATATAATATTTTATTTAATATAATAGTCCCAAATATTTGCACAAATTACATTTCTAGGGCCTATTTTTGAATGAATATTACCTTATTACCTTTCATATTCATACTTATGCGAAATAAAAAATATAAAAAAGTTTAAACCCCTGCTTCCGACCTTTATTATCTCTACCCATAGAACTAAGACATTTGAATATTCCTTTATTGCCCGATCCATTGCCTTCTAGAATTTCTTGTCATCTGATATCCGCCATTCCTCTTCCCTTTCCTCATTTAAATATCATCTCTACCGATTCCTTCTAACATCCCCAAATGACGTTGTAAAATGAAATAAATATTGTGAAACTAATTTTGACTGAGGTGAATGGTTGTTGAAATTGTTCGAGTTTTAATTTTAAAAATATTTTTATATTTCACCTGATGTCTGTTATTCTTTTCATTTAAATAATGTTTTTTTTTTTTTAATGGTGTTACTTTTTATTTGTTTTAATATACTTTCACTGAAGATATATATTCTGCATATATTCTTTAATGTAATTTTTGGCCAGATGTGGTTTTTATTTTTTTTTGTTCATAATTGTTATTCATAAGGGACTTCGTCCCAAAATAAAGTTTATTTATTTTCTATCTATCTATCTATAGTCTGATGATAATAAAAAAAATTGCGAATAATTTATGTTTTTTTTTAAAACAGAACTTAAGTTAGTTTAGATGTTCAAAAGTCCTCTTTAAATATTTTTAACAGTAATCTATTATATTTTAATCGGATGTTGTCTAGTTTAATAAACACAACAGTATAGTTTAATAATAAATTAAATATTTCTTTAGTTATCGCTTCCTATTCAACAGAAAACACAAAATTACTATTACTCCTTTATATCAGCCAGGAAAAAAACGGCAATAGAATATTAAATGCAGTATCTTCGTAGAAATTATTATGCGTACCAAATCTAATCAGACTACATCATTCAAGAAAAAATGTTTCATTTTATTAATAACTTTCATTCATAACATTACTTCATTCAATGCCCTTTCGTTTGATACCTCATTCATTAAAATCCGGATACTTCTTGAGAACCGAGAAAGGAAATTTAACAAAAAAATAGAATTTTGCAAAAAAACCATTATTTGAATTATTATATATGAAGATATATTTAGGTTCAAAAAAACGGACCAATCATAGTATATAACGTATTTTAATAATAATAATAATAATAATAATAATAATAAGGCTTAGCGAACCCGAAGGTTCGATGCCGACACCACCAATCGCTTGTTACACACCTCCCTCCACCGTTCGCCGTCCAAACCCAGTCCCTCCAGATCGGCTTTAATGCAATCTTCCCACCTTCGCTTCGGTCTACCCCTCGGACGCTTACCATTCGGCACAGCAAATATTAACCTTTTAGGAATTCTTTCGTTACTAAGTCCAACAACTTTACAAGCCCATTTGATTCGCCGCGATGAAATTACCTCAATTATATTACCCGGATACAGCTCACGCAATTCGGCGTTGTGTAACCGTCTGAACTCTCCGGTTAACTCATCCTTCTTCGGTCCGAATATTCTACGCAATACTTTATTTTCAAAAACCTTAAGACGCTGCTCATCCCTTAATGTAAGCGGCCAAGTTTCGCATCCATAAAGAACTGTAGGCAAGATAATTGTTTTATAGATTCTAATTTTTAAGTTTCGGGACAAGAGGCGCGAACTAAGTAGTTTTGTCAAAGAAAAATAACAAGCATTCCCCGCCTTCAGTCTAACCTTAATCTCTTCTTCAATTTCGTTTTTTCTAGTTATCGTAGAACCTAGATACCTAAATTTATCTACCTGTTCAAACATATTACCATCTATATCGATATCACCAGTAGTATCGCCATTTTTGCAGCTAACCATATATTTTGTTTTATCCCCGTTTATTTCGAGTCCTAGTTCTTTACCGGCTTTCATTAACGTTGTCGTATTTAGTTTTATAGTTTCAACGTCTTCGCTTAACAGTACCAGATCATCAGCATAGCCCAGTACGGATGTTGTCCCGCCCAGATCCAACCCTTTCTCGGTTCGCATTACCTCCCTAATGGCATGTTCTAATGCCAAATTGAACAGGACAGGCGAAAGAGAATCCCCCTGTTTTAAGCCCGAACGAACCTCAAATTTTTCGGACAAATTATTACCGATTCTTACTATATTGAGTGTCTCCGTCAAGCACATCCTGACTAGATTTACTAGTTTTTTTGGAATCCCCTGCTCGATTAGAATATTATACAGTTTCTGGCGGTCAATAGAATCGTAAGCCTTTTTAAAATCTATATACAGCTGGTGAACAATACCGTTATACTCCAATTTTTTCTCTAATATTTGCCGTAAAGAAAATATTTGATCAATAGTCGAACGATTCCGTCTAAATCCGCATTGGTAGTCTCCGATAATTTCCTCGGCGTATTCCGTGATTCGACTGGTTAAGATTAAAGTGAATATTTTATAACATACCGGAAGGAGTGAAATTCCTCGATAGTTATTACAATCCGTCCTCGGACCCTTTTTGTGAATCGGAATAAGAATAGATTCTTTCCATTCTTCAGGTAATTTCTCGTTCACCCAGATCTTTTTAACCAACCGATGTATTTTAGAAACTCCAGCTTCCCCGCATGCCTTAATTAGTTCAGTAGGAATATTATCGATTCCCGCTGCTTTGTATGATTTTAATTTTCCGATAGCTACTTCAACTTCCTCTTTACTTGGTCCTTCTATTAACGGTTCAGCACTCTGGTATTCAGAAGGAGGACACAGATCATAATTTCCCGTATTTAAAATATTGTCAAAGTGGTCCTTAAACTTATTCAATATGTCAGCCGGATCGGTCAGAATATTGTTATTATCATCCCTAATTCCAGACGTTACGGGCCCTACATATTTGCGTGATCTGTTTATACCTTTGTACATGTCTCTTACGTTATTTTCGATTCTATTAGTTTCTATTTCAATTAGTTTATTTTTAAGATACTCCCTTTTTTTATTTTTGAGCAATTTTGTCGTTTCGTTCTTTGAGATTCGGAAGTATTCCAGATTGTCTTCGCTAGGATTATTTAGAGCTTTTAATTTAGCGGCTTTTCTTTTTTCACACATGTTTAAGCAATCTTCATCAAACCACGGTTTGTTATTCTTATTTTCCTTTTTTCCTAGACACGAGTTACCGACCGCTTTAATATTATCTCTGATCTCTATCCATAACTTGTCAATATCCTCGTGGTCCTCGTCAGGAAGCTCTAAAGCTTCAAACCTATTCTTAACATCTAGCTCGAATTGGTTTCTAATTAATGGATTTTTTAATTTTTCCAAATTAAAATTCTCAAAATCGAAACGGTTTTCTTTTCTCTTTTTTACATTAAGTTTTTGTCGAAGTTTCGCGATTACTAATTCATGATCCGACCCACATTCTGCTCCGCGATAAGACCGTACATCAATTATACTGCTTTGCCAGCTGTGTTGTATCAAGACATGATCGATTTGATTTCGTGTTTGCGAATCCGGTGATGTCCAAGTATATTTATGAATATCCTTATGTTTAAACGTCGTACTTTTAATTATCAGGTTTTTCGAGATGGCAAAGTTTATCAGACGGATCCCATTATCATTACTATATTCGTGCAAACTTTCTTTACCAATCGTCGGAATATAAACTTCTTCCCTTCCTACCTTTGCGTTCGCGTCACCTACAATTATTTTCATGTAGTTTCGCGGTAGTTTATCATAAACCCATTCGAGTTTATCGTAAAATTCACTTTTGACTTCATCGTCACTGTCTTCGGTCGGACAATGTATGTTTATTAATGCGATTTTAAACCAACGTCCCTGAAATGTAGCTACCGAAATTCTATCACTAAAGAATTGTACGTCCCTCAAAGCGGATAGTAATCTACTCCTAATTAGAAACCCGGTACCCAAACAATGATTCCCGCTTCCTCCGTACCAAATAGTGTACTTTCCTTCCCTTATCGAGCCCTCCCCTGGCCAGCGAACCTCTTGTAGAGCCACGACATCCAACTTGTACCCATTTACCTCAATCGCGACCGATTTTAGCCCCCCTGCTGTGTTTAAACTCCTTACGTTCCACGTACCAATATTTAAATCCCTATATTTCAACTTGCAGCATGAATCCCCTAAAGCAGTCCCCACCCGGAGACCCGAACGGGGGACTAGTTTACCTCCGGATAATGAGCGTTTTACCTTAGGGAGATCCATGACTTTTTGTGGTGTTTGGTGAACTAAAGATATGTGAGTAGGGCGTTCAATCCTACGTCACACCCTCCAGCAAGTCTGGTGGGCCCCTACCTCCAGCAAGTCTGGAGATCCCCTCCCTCCAGCAAGTCTGGAGGGCCCCTCTCATTGTTGGTCAGCGAGTCCATCGGACTTAGCCGGGAGGAACTTCCAAGGAATTTCCACCGACCATTCCCACATCCGCCACCCGTGGGACGCTCCCCATACGCGGTAATGAGTCCGCGCGAGGAACGTATTTTAATCTTTGAAAAATTTCTTTATTGCTTTATTCTTATGTTCGTTTTTTGGAAAATGCTCGTCTTCACAAATATAATCACTATTATAGTGGCATACATGTTTTGCTCTTGTGCTATGTATATGAAAAAACTTAACCATATAAAAGGGTCTATTCAGACTGTGTTGATCTCTGGTGGTTGAAAAGTAAACTAACTTAACTACTATTTCTAGGATAAAGTTGTAGTTGAGGAACTTTCTAAACTAAATTTGTTAATTGAGATTTTAGGTAGTAAGAATAAAAATTATTTAAGCAGTAATACTTCTATTTGCAATGGCTAGAGTTATATGTGAGCATACATGAAATCTAAATACATAAATAAATGGGTTTAGTAAAAATATGATGACGGATTGATCGCATTATTCATTACATATTCAACATTATGTTTTCCACTTGGTAGGCACTAGAAATAATCTGAAATCAGAAAAAATACAGATCAAAACATCAGGAATAAAATGAAGCCATATAGCTTCCTAATCTATATCATTTTATACATATTATTTTGTTATATTATTTCCTTATTGCCAATTTATATTATTAAATAATTATAATTATTCTTTTTGCCAATTTGTAACCGTAATATATATTCAACTTGTTCAGCTTCATATAAGCCCAACAATAATTTAAGCTTTTTATGTCTAATATTTTCATTCTTCGTTATATTGTGCTTCCTTTTCTATTTCATAATAATTATAATTGTAGCACGATATAATATAAATAATATTATATAAAATATAATAATTAATATGTTGTTGGCAAGGAAGAATGTCTAGGCAGAAAAATAACTGCTATCACTTAGGTAAAATCAAACCAGATGAATACCATTTCCCGAGTGAATGAATTCTTTATTTTGTATTAGGAGAGTACTAGGTAACATCAGCTCGACACATCTGTAATTAAATGAACAGCTGTGTAATTATAGAGCTAATAGAAGAGGTCCTGTACCATCGTACGCTCCTAATACTAAAATAAATTAAAATATGACATACACTAAAACCATTTTTTTTATATAATAAAGATATAACATTCACTTGGACAGTCTTTATACAGTCGCTTGGACAATTTTTATAGGGAAGTAAGATCACATTCACAGTATAACAATACTTTTAGGGATAATTTTTAAATATATTTTTCATGGCACAAAAATAAATTATTTTTATATTTTATAGGGTGACTTTAGCCTTAAACCTCCTTCTACTATATATCTGCCAATGATAAAAAATAAATTATCAATAAGGAATTGTAAACTTCAAAATTAGTTTCTTAGGAATTATTAATGATTTCGGTTAACCACCTTCAACCTATAATTATCATAAATTAGGTAGCTAAAAAGGTGATAATCATTTCTTAAAATCTGGTTTTCATTTGATGTATTAAATTTCTTTCTAAGGGTGTTGATGTTTACATACTCATAGTTCCAGTTCTATAAAAACTGAAAATCAATAATTTACATCTATGTTTTATATTTCTTAAGCTTCTAGATTAAAGGATTTTTTTAAAATTTAATAATATTTCTTTCAATGTTTAAGAATATAAATATTTTAATAATTTCCTCCTTTACTCACATTACTGAACGATTCTAGTGACGAGTTAATATTTAGAAAAGATGTTTTCAGTATTACTGGCTCCTTTGTGTTCAGAATCATATTAGAAATAACTGATTTCACTCTTTTATCGAAGCACCACCAAGGGGTGGACCAAAGAGTGAAGAAAATCTGGCACTCTACAAAGGAAAAATAAAAAATATTTTAAAATACTTAATATTTTCTTATTCATATAAAGTACTTTTGATATTTTATATTACACACCTCATTCGACAATTCTTCACCATATAAACAAAATTGTAAAGTAAACAAAAGTTCAGTAAACAACATCATGATGAAGGTTCCTACTCCCAAAAGCTCTTCGTTGGATAACTTACTCTGAAATATAAAGCATTATAATTTGGCTTAATTGTTCTGACCATACAATCAACATTTTTTTTAACTTATACCTAAATAGACTTTAAATATTTTAATCCTTCCAATCCAATCCTTCCAGTCAATAGTCCTCCGAACAACAGTCGATATTCCTTTCTATGTAACCAACAAAACCCTACGCAATGACCTCAACATCCCATTTGTCCTAGACTTTATGACAGAAAAATTCTCCAAATTTTACCGGAACCTTATGTATCATCCAAATCCTCTTGCACAATCCCTATCAAGCACCTCCCATCCGTTTAATCCTTAAAGAAGGTTAAAACGGCAGTGGCCTCGCTACCTTTTGTAGATTATATATATTGGAGTTCTGGCAATGGCCAGATTCTCCACTCAAGACATGAGTGTATGTGGCTAAAGTGCTCTCGATCAATCTCCGCTGGTACCAGTACCAGTGATGCAGTTGAGAGAGTAGCGCAGGGTTCTCCTGGAGTTCCCTTGCCTAATTGTATATAGGTATATACAATAGATTTTAATTTTCTTATTTTTAGGTTATTTTATTTTATTTATTGCATATACTTTTTGATTATTATTTATTGTTATTTTTCTTCTATTTACTTTATATCTTTTGTACATATAGTGTGAATGGTATCCTACCTCAATATAACTAATATCCAAGTGACAGATTGTTATAGTACTCAATAAATAAATTTAAAAAATATTGATATATGGATAATATTTATAAAGGTATAACAGTGTGGTTGGAGCACTGTACCAGTAAAGTGAAGATCGTAGGATGAATTCCTGACTCCTATTTCCAGTATGGGTGGTCTCCATACGCGCATAATATTGGTTGGGGGGGGGCATGGCCACACAAAACCATGTAGCTTATTTATTATTGGTTTTATTATTTTTTAACCTCAAATTATTGGGAGAGAGAGGGCAAAACGATATTCTTGCGCCCTAAATATTTTTATTACGAGGGAGGCGCCCCCTCCCTCCATCCCTCAAAGCAATCTGTCAGGAATCCTATTAAAAAAAAAAAAAAAAAAAATGAACGCCTGAAGAGTAGGCAAGAGACGACGGGGAAGACCAGGAACCAGATGCAAAGTTGCCTAGAAGAGAGTCTCATGGGGTAAGTTAAACCATTGGAACTTTTGAGGGGGGCACATTTTGAATTTTTGGGCAGTATGAATTAAAGTTCGATAATTTTGGTATGAAAAGTTTCAAGAGAGCAAGCGAAAAAGCATTGACCAGACAACAGCTGGTTTCATTTCATATTATCTACAATTTTTCTATTTTTATGAAGAGGAGATTAATAAAATCTGTTACCGAGGCAAGGGGGGAGGGGAGAGATTCATGCGCTATCGACCTTGGGAGAGGAGCACCCCTGACCAAATGGACGAATTGAATCAACAAAGCTGAAGTAAAACTGTGAAAGGAAATCGGTGTGGGAGGGGCTTGTAGTCTGACATTAATCCGCCCGCCCTTTCCCCTGGTCAGGAATAAACCCTGTATAGTCTAAAAGGCGAAGAAGAGGAGAGAAAAAAAATTAATTTGAAATAATTTAATTCTTATTAACTGGTACTCATGTTTACTTAGTTTAAAGACCTCTGTCTAATGATTGATCAGTTTAAGGGTTTTTATATGCGCTCTTTATTTATTTATGTTACTTATTAATTTATATTTCTTTTATAAGAATTATTGAAGCTTAGATTTCAAAACTATTCAAAGAAGATTCAAGCGTAGATATTTTTTCATTATTAATTAAAAGCTAAGCCTACCTTAGTGATGACCAACACAGCCAAGGAAAGAGTTAAGGTTGAGAGCACTGCTATGAAGAAAAACGTCATCTCTACGTAACTCCTAATATCTCTGGTAAACCTAAGCAATATAAGAAATTATTTAAAAATTATCATTGAAAAAAATACAACTTAAATATAATATATAATATAATATAAATATAATATAATATACAAGGTTTTCAAGATTCGTTATTACTATCAAGTTGTCTTATTTGGTGCATATACATAAGACTTGCCATGCAACTTTAGGTAGGTATTTACGTAGGAGCTTTTCAGTTGATAGAATGACTAACTCCAATTTTAAAATTTTTAATATTAATAAGTTCTCTATTTCAACATTGCATTACTACTCTGGAATCAACTTAATTACTGTCTGTACAAATTTTATATCTTTTGCAACTAGAAATATCACTAAATATTACTTTACTAAAAAATATTGAAACTTGAGTTGGTCATTCTGTTAACTGAAAGGCTCATATAGAGAGGATATAGGTAAAAAAATTATGGATAGTATCACAAAATATTGTACCGTGGGATTCATGAATACTCATTTGGTTTCTGCTTGAATTGTAAGCTGATTTGATCAAAAAATAGAGAAAAAGGTTGGTCTACTAAAATATTGGACTGGTATATAAAAATAACGAGATTATATAAGCCAAACCCAATGTTTGTGTGAACCACCTTTTTTCTCGATTTTTGTGATCAAATTATCTTACGATTCAAATGAGTATTCATGAGTTTTTCATTAATTCAATGAGAAAACGCTCTAGTTATCAAAATTTTCTTAAATAAAAAACTTGTGGATATCGATAAGATCATGCTATCACTTGATCATTCAAAACTTCTTGATCGTTTTAGCCGGATATTAATAATTTGATAAAAAGAGGTTTGTACCGTAGAATATACATTTAACAAATATATTGTTAGTATGTGGGTGACCATACTACATCTGTACTTTGAGCTAAAGGCAAACTCGGCCACTCACAATTTTCGCCAAAATTGTGTGCCTAAATTTATCTCCCCCTCTCTCTACTATTTCATAAATTAAGCTCTCCAAAATTATACACGAACAATTCTAAGTCAAGTATTCAATCATGTAACATTAATTATGGTTTCCCAATTTAGTTTATAAGATGTACAGTCACGATCATAGAAATTGAAATCACTCAGTAAAAATTTTATTTTATTTACCAGGCATCTGCAAGATATCCAGATATTTCTTTGCCAATTTTGAAACGATATTCTAAAAACGATTGCACCATGAAGTGGTCAAATTGTTCGTTTGTTTTTATCTCCTCCAAGTTTCTTTCGATCTATAGTGTTTTTTTACGTTACAATATTAATATTTTCTGATTAGGACAGTTTTTTAAAACATGTCATAATTATAGCTTTTATTCTGAAATTAGTAAATACCTATCTGAGAAACATTATTGGAGATTTCTTGTAACGTTAATAAGTAAAGATAAACATTTGATGGAATCAACGTTATCAAGATAAGAATCAAAAGAAATTGGTGATACAATTTCTATGACCGGGATTGTATCTTTAAATCAATATACCACTTGAGTCTTTAATTTTTAGTGCAAGTTCTTTGCAAAAACTTTTTAAAATAAAAAACAACCAAATCTTCCCACTCGTAATAGTAATAATAACACACACACAGTTGTGTATAATAATAATAACACAAAAATGTTTTTGTTTTTGTACCAATATAAGTACCAAATATTGTAATCCTATACCCATCTGCTTTCCTTAATATACCCTCCAAAACTAGGTATATACTCATTTTATTACTTATATTGTAGTTAGTCTTTATTATAATAGGTCATCTGGCCAGATTTATTGTCAATTGGTTTGAACAATATTGTTATTCTTAAAGGTCCTAGTCAGAGAATAAAGATGTTTTTCTATTTCAAAGCAATGATTACAGATGTTTTTTAGGACTTAGAAGGCTCTGCAAAATAAAGATTTGTGGAAAATTTGAACCGATTGCAATACTTTTCTTACAAATAAGTAGTGGAAAGATAAAAATAAATAATATTTAGAATTTTTTTTTTCGCTTTTACCTTCCTTGTCTTTTAGGCTACATGGTTTTGTTCCCGGGACGGGGAACTATGCCGAGTTAAAAGTCCCACCGGACACCAGGAATTGAACTCTTATTTATTTTTTCATATCTAACATTGGTTATCAGATTGCCGAGGAATTCGTGATGCTCGACAACCCCGCCCTCAATATATAATATTTGGAACTAATTACAATTGTACAGTTACCTGAGCAGAACGTGGTGATGGCGGACGTTCTCTCTTATACACTCGAGCAGGCAATCTTGGAACTCCTTCTTCTGGTATAGACTCTCCATATCTTGTCTTGGTCCCGCCTTGCCACGGAAGTACCTTCGCAACGCTCTATCCACGACGTTACTGATCGAGAGGTTCAATATCTCGAATTGTGCCTTCAACTGTTCCAGCAAACTGATGTATATCTCTTCAATGCATATGGCCACCATACAGACCGAGTACATCATGGCTACGTTGGACAGGTAGGCGATCGTGAACGTTAGAACAGAACTAGTGTCGAACGGAACATAAAAAGGAATCGGGAAGTAAGGATTGATGGGGATACTAGAGGGTCTCTTCTTGTACGAGTTCTCGATGTATTTCTTGGCAGTATTGAACAATAAGAAAGAGAAGCCAGAAGAAACGATTATTATTCTGAACCATTTGTTTACCAGGCGAATTCTTCGTACGCAGTTTTTCGTTGTTTCGTAATGTCTTTCATCTAAGTCTTCTTCGTATGTATAGAAACCTTTGTTGATGAATTCCAAAACTGACTTGAAATTGCTTTGGAGTTTGGTGGTCAAGAGTGATAAATCATAGAAAGCAAGAATTACCATATGAAGAGTTTCCAGCATCCTAGTTTTGTCTCCAATTGTCAAAACAAAGGAGTAGAAACCTATGCAAATTTCGTAAAAGAGAAACAACCAAATTATCGAAGCATACAACAAACAAAGATAACGTTTAAGTTTCGACGAATTACTTATTTTGCAGCACGACATTACCATCTGGAGTTCTCTTTCTTTGTCGAAATCGTAGACAACTTCCCTGTCGACGACTTGATGTTTCGTATTTCCTTCCATTTCAAGTTAATAAGTTGATTATTCACCAACTGCTAAAAGTACATCAATTTTAAAATTATTTTTACCTTGTTTGTGAGAAAGTAATAAATAAACTACATGTCCTTAAGGGAAGACTTCTAAGAACATACAATGGAAGTTAAAACATCAACAAGGAGAGAGGATATTAAGGTTAGGCTGAAGGCGGGAAATGCTTGTAATTTTTCTTTGTCAAAAATAATTAGTTCTCGCCTCCTGTACGGAAACTTAAAAAGTATAATTTACAAAACCATTATCCTACCTACAGTTCTTTATGGGTGGAAACGTTAAGGTTTTTGAAAATGAAGTATTGCGCAGAATATTCGGACCAAAAAGGGCGAATTAACCGAAGAATTTAGGCGGTTATCCAACGCTAAATTGCGTGAACTGTATCCGGTTAATATAATTGAGGTGGTTTCATACCGGTGTATCAAATGGGCTTGTAAAATTGTTGGTCTTAGTAACGAGCGAATTCCTAAAAATGTAATATTTTCTGTACCTACTGATAAGCGTCCGAAGGGTAGACCAAAGCGAAGGAGGGAAGATTGCGTTGGAATGCGCGATGGAAGAATGTGGACATCGATTGGTGGTATCGGCATCGAACTTTCGGGTTTTCTATTTCTATCAATTCATAATAGTAATCATGTCAAAATAAAAAAAATTAGTGCGCGCAACACACAACTTTCACTTACCTCTCTTCTTTGAATTGAAATTATTTTCTGGCAATTTTGAGCAACTATAAAATTTTTGAAGTGCACTATTAACAGAACTACAGCTTAAAGCTTACCACTAACCAATAATTAACACCACTAAAATAAAAAAACCTATTAATTATATTAACGGTAGACAATAAAAATCTCGATACTCGATCTATTTTTATAAACAACATAACTCCAATCTCTTATATTAAGGATATTCTGAGAGAGATTTGAAAGTATATCGCTATATTTGACCTATAAATGATTATGGATTACTAGTTAATTAATAACTATTAGTTATTAAACTCAAACCATTGTAAATTTTACTAACATAAAATTTCGAGATTTTCATTGCCTGCCATAGATATGTCAAACGTTGTAGCATTAATTTTAAGTGGATAATGTTTGGATTTCTCACGTGAAAAATCGATCCAATTATTTAATTTTAATTTTCTAAAAGGTTACATGATGATTTTCTGAATAAATGGGCGTTGATACCAAATGATTTAAATATAATATCAGATCTAGAGTTATTAAACAACAGTAAATGTATTTAAGGTTATAAAAATATGCTTTATATATCCATGAAGTGATTTTATATTTTACATCTTCTTTAACACAAGTACAATGAATAGTTTTTTAAATAATGCCATTGCCTTGATTAGGTGGATTTTAAATACTTTTTCAAACTTAAACATATTTTAAAAGTTTACATTTAGTTAGTAAATTTCATTTAATTGCCTTGTAAACATGTGTTTCCCGTCAAATAATTTTAGTTTTCACAAATTATTATTTATAATTTTTCATCACTCTATATTAGATATTATTTTTTTATAAAATTTTCCGCTTTCCAAAGATATATTATACGCATGCCATCTGACTAGTATTTCCGAAAATCCATTTTAAAACTAAAAAACGAACCAAAAGAATTGACATTTGGTCTTACTCATGGGTTTTTTGGGCATTTAAAAGAAAAATTTACATGAGTCATTACAACCGTCCCCACAAAATATGCCACTCCAAACCACTTCGAAAAAAAAAAATCGCCTTGGCAACACAAAATTATCTACATAAACAGTAATCACTGCTATTTAAGTACTAATGTTTAAATTATAACGAGGAAAAACAATCATTACTATATCATTACATGTATGACAACAATTAATTAAAGAAATAGAATAAAAATAGTTACTTTTGTCCGTTAAAAAGTAATGTAAGTCAGTGCTTGTGTTAATAGCCGCACAATGGCTGACTATGGTGTGAAACATGTTCCGACCTACACGCCTTTAAATTTTTTCCTGTTAAACATTCCGATAATTCTTTGTTGAAATGCGTGAGTGCGAGAGGAAAGGGGAGTACGTTGTTTTTCCTATTATATAATGCGGAAATAGTGGGAACTTAACACCAAAATGTTTCTGTGACAGCATTTGCTGATGACATAGCTGTCTCAAGTAGCAATATGAATGCAAAAAAAACTATGCAGCAGACGGAAATAGCTTGTGAAAAAATTGCAGAACAGCTAAAAATCCTAAACATAGATATTAATCCTGAAAAAACGGAAGGAATTATATTTTCATATCAAAAAGGAAAAAATAAAATGTCAAATGATTTCAAAATTAACAACAAAGCCATTAAATTATTGACTGACTTGACATATCACGATATTCACTTCGACAGACATTTAAAATTTACAAGATATTTTGACAAAAATGACAACAGTAAGATCTAAGACGTACAGATTCCAAAATTTAATTCGGACAACAAACCTATCTTTACGCCTAAAGCTCCTCATCTATACTACATAATAAATACGGCCGGTTCTGTTGTATGGTGCACCTCTGTTTGATCATGTCAGCAAAGCAACTGGGAAAAGGTAACAATATTTCTAAAATAGAATAATCAGGGAATGAAAACATTGGATTTACAAGCAGCACTAAATTTATCAACAGTAAAAGAATTTCTAGCAAAACGAAAAAAAATCATTTTTCGAAAAGTCTCAACAATTGGCAAACCCTCTTTTCAACAACTTATTACCAGCCAAAATTCCAACAACTCACATGAGATAGATGTTTTATTAATTTATTTGTAATCTCTAGAGGATAAGGTCAACTCAAGCCTGAAGTGTGCCCCATCACCTTTTATATTACAGATGTAGAAAAAATACACAGAAACGACAAAAAATGCAAAATACACCTTACAATGCTTTTTAGCAGTAAAAGGACTATTATGAAGGCAATGAAAATCCAAGGCTTCAAGGCAAAAATAAATAAAAAAGGGATTATGAAGAAAAAAAAAAGAAGGGAGTATTCGGTATGTATATAATAAATATTCACATAGACAAAATATTTACAAGCATATCCATATATTGAAAGATGATATCGTAATCTTCTAATTTATGAATATGTTTTTAAATATTTTGTATGCAATATTGGATAGTCAGAGAAAAAACAAAGTGTTAGTTTTAATTATGTGTAATCTTATCGATATAAAAAAAAACACTATTCCGATTGTAGGATACAGTCGATATCTACTGCATTGTACCTTACGAACAATATGGTGTAGTCGACTACCTTCCAGCTACTAAGTCCTCTTCGTTGGGCTAGGTCAGTTTAAATAGCTTATCAAAATGTATAATAATATCGATTCACAATCGAAACAACTATTATTATTTATTCAACATTGGTTATAGAGAAGTTTGCGGATTACATGAGATGGGGACTACGCAATTCTAGGCTATTGCATTTATGATATTTGGCCTTCCAACTTTTCATAACTCCATTCATTTTTTAAATTTAGAGTTAGCTGCTTATAAAATTAGTACCTAGAGTCGAGCTGTACTATCGCTAGGTCGATTTATATGAAATAATAATGAGGGAACTTTTTTTTAATATTAGTTATAGAAATAAAAACAGCCATATAATAAATGCGCATATAGTTTAAATAATATCCGTACTCTCTTAGAATCAGATATAGGTGAGAAACCTTTTTGATTTTACATACCTACACAAATACATTCTCTGAGCTTAAATAATCAAATTTTGAAAAATGGTCTGTCTGTCATTGTGTATGACTGAAAGGGTGCGCGCATCACATACCTTCCACTTACAATTTTTTTTAGTAGAAGTAGGTATACTTAGTGAAAGTGAAGTACAAGTAAGAATTATAGCGCATATCACACAACTTTCACTTACAGCTATACTTTGAAACTAAATTGTTGTTTGAAAAAATAAGACTATTTAAAAAAGTTTTTGAAGTATATTTTTAATGGAGTTAAACCTTAAAGAACATATTTGTGATCACAAATGTAATTTCGGTCATTTTTAAATGCACAAACTCAACAAGACCATAAAAATAATAATTATATAAAATGTGTATATACACTAATACTATTGTATTATTTTTTTTTTTCATTTTCATTTATTTATCCGCATCTGTCAATTACAACTATCGAAAGTCAGCAGCTGTGCTGGCATAGTTATGAGAGAGAAAAAAATTCCAATACTTCAACAAATAAAATTACCTACAATAAAATATTAATAAATATAATAATATAGAGGCTTTCTTTATCAGTTCATCAAAAAATAATTTCGTACCACTTAATTATTTATTATAATCAAATAAATAATTAAAATTTATAGTCATAAAAGGAAATGATTAGTGGCCAAAAAAATCATAAATATAATGCATCAGACGGCTGAGAAAAATATACGGTAATTAATTGTTGTAAATAATAACTTATTAACTATTTTTTTTATATACTAGTGTTATAAAAAATCGGTCTTGGTCTTGCACTTTGTAAGAAAAAGACCGCCCAGCTGTTGCAAGACTGGTAAAAAAATCGTTTTAGTGATTAAAAAGTAAGGCAAAATAGTAACTAATACTTGAAAATTTTACTTACTGTATGTATAATTTCCTTCCTTCCTCCTTCAGTCATCAACGATCATCCAATCACATTCAGCTCTTCCATTAAACACCTAGACGAAAAACTCTCCTGGAAATCCCATATCGCCCTCATCTCCCGTAAGTCAATAGGCACCCTTAAGCTATTTCATCGCTCCCGCCACCTACTCCCTCAACCCATCCGCAAGCTCCTTGTATCCTCTCTCACATTCCCCCACTTTGACTACGGCTGTGTGGTGTACGGAGGCATCCCGATGGTACTCGAGGATAGATTGAAGCGACTCCTGAATACCTGCTTAAGATTTGTCTTCGGTACATCGAGGCGGTCTCATGTGTCCACCCTTTACGATGAGTTAAAATGGCTCTTCCCTTCTTTCCGCAGACAAT